AAAAAGTCACCAGAAGTGACAACTTGCAATCACTTTTTGTTCCATTTTCTGCCATTTTTCTTTTAGTTTTCTGCCTCGATGCTGCAAGGCAGTTGGCTGAGTTTTGAAAGTTTAGGTCAGAATGCTGAGATACTCCTTAGCCGAAAAACTGGTCGCAAAAACTCTCAAATAAAATATTAATAATGATTTTCCAACTAACCGAAAAAGTTCCCCGCACTCTTATCTCATCCACTTCTTTTGTAGTTTCTTCTTAAGGTGGTCCAAATAAAACCCCAAAGTGTTGTAAAAGCCTACAAAACTCTGACTTCACAGTTTCTGTCTCATCTTGTTATTTGTTGTATTTGTTTTGGTTTCAGAACAAAAACACACCTCCTGTTTTTGCATGTACAGGTTTTATTTTGAAAGGTTTCAGATTATTCTGGATCAGATTTCAAAAACAGCGCTTAAAAGGGTTCAGAAACCATCAGAGCATGTGGACATGCTATCTGGGGAAGTCCTGTGATGTTTTGGATCGAGCGTCCAGGATTCGGTGTTGTTCTGGCCCATTGCACAAATACTTGGACTGGGATCTGGGTAGTTCGGAGGATGGAATGGTGCCTTTGGCTCTTTTTCCTGTTATTCTGAATTCTTTGGAGGCAACATTCTGAGCACAGAGGATAGTTTATTTTTTAATGCCAATACACAGATAAGAAGGTAAATATTCCAAATTAATTTAAATCAACACAATTCAGTTAAATTTCAGTAGCTTTAATACATTTATGGTCAACAAGATTAGGCCCATAAGAGCAAAAATGCAACAACTCTGATGAAATTTGAAAATGTAGTTGTGTTTAGGAGCTGTTTTTGATGCTTTAGACACTGGGTTTATTAAAAATAGTAATGAAATCAGAGGGTTGGCCTTTATGTTAGAGCATTGCCAGGGGTTTTTGCATGAAAAGGTGTGGTCCAGGTGTAGAAAACCAGGAAAAAGTAGACGTTTTAGTAGGAAAATAGCATGAATTAGACATCCCATGGCATAAAATAACAGCAGCAATAGAATCAGTTGTGAGTCACAATCTGAATGTCACTGAAAACCTTTGGGTTGAGTTGAAATCTGCCTTATAGAGCATGAATGAGTGCCACAAACCGTCAACAATGAGGAAAACAAGATGATGGTGTCACAGGATAGGGTCATGGGTCATGCTTATTAACAAATTAGCTTCTGTGTAGGAACATGTTTATTCTGCAACAGCATTGAGCATTTTATTAAGAAAATAGAATTAGAAACAAAAGAGTTTTATTTCCTTGAATTTAAAAGGACACTAAGTTCAGCCCACACAGAAGCCCGATAATTCAGACCAGCCTTTGGTGAACAAAGCATGTCAATTCCTCTAAGAACCTTATTACCCAGACATGGCCAACTGAGTCATTATGGCTCGCTGTGATGCATCCATCTATCCCTTTTTTAACACAATGACTCTCCTGTCTCCCTCTGCGCGCTGTGAAATATAAACAGACATTCACAAAATGCAGCTCTCAGTCCTCAGAGATTCACTTCCTCTGACCATTCCACCCCCCCCCCTCCTTTTCCTCCTCCCATCGCATATCCTCCTGCTTTGTGCTTTCATTTCACGCTCCCTCCTTCTTTTCCTGCTCCTCCATTTTTCCCCATCTGTCATTTTGTTCCATCCGTTATTCCTTTGGTCTACCTTTGCTTTGTGCGGGGTGAGGGTTCTAAATCAGCCAGGAGATGCACAAAGTCTGCGACCTTCATGAATCAGAGTCTCTGGGATTTGTTTCGTTTTCTCCCTACGTGATTTTCCTTTATATTCCCAAATCTTTAAGTGGGGCACACACCCCCCCACCCCCACCCATGCACAATCCCCATCACTCTCCACTTTTATCTTCATGCACTGTTCAGCTCGCTTCTCTTGTTCTCAGCCTTCTTGGCTGCTGTGTTTCTCATTTTAAGAAGGTGTTTTATGCCACACCGTGATCCCGAGGTTAAAATCAGTATAATTTTCCTCTTTGTTTTTCTCTGATGACTTAGATAATTGTTTCTTTAATTAAATTTTCTGAAAAGATTGCCTCGTTAGTAGTTGAATGAAGAGTTTCTATGTATATTTGGTCCAATGTGTGCTTCAGTGAGTCACTATTTATATAGTCAGTCTTCTGCAGCCCTGACAACCTGCTCACACACACACACACACACACACACACACACACACACACACACACACACACACACACACACACACACACACACACACACACACACACACACACACACACACACACACACACACACACACACACACACACACACACACACACAACTGTGCACTTCTCAATAACGTTGCATGTCTTACCTAAGAGGTACAAGAATATGTCTGAGCAAACAACACATTTTTATGTGGAGCATGAAAGAGCTTGTGAGCTGCAGATGGAAAGTATTCATCCAAACCTTTAGAAGGGAGCTTCTGTGGAAAGGGCTTTCTATAGACAACTTCTTGAACAACCTCAGTTAAGAGAAAATTAAATGAGTTCTGACTTAGGCCTAGTCCACACGTAGCCGTTTTTTTTTTAAAAAAAACGAATATCCGCCCCTCCAAAAACTTGCATCCACACCACCTCGTTTAAAAAAAAACTCTGTCCACACGTACCCGGATAAATACGTTGTTAAGGACATGCCAGACCTGTAGGCGGCAGTACTTCCCCCGTTCTTAACCTCGTCCTTCGTCTGTGGTCTTCCGCAAGGAGCAGTAATTCCGCTTGCAAAAACAAACAAGTAAAAAGTGCTTGGACAATTGATAAAGCGAGCGCAGCTCTGAGGGCTTCCATGCTGTCGGCTAGTGTAAACACAGGTCGCACACGTGATGTCAGCATTTTTTTGTCGCGGAAAGTGACGTTGCGGACCTTAAAACTCCGGTTTTGTCTGTCCACACTCACACACCCAAAACGGAGAAAACGCAGATCTTCACTTTGGCCGGAGTTTTTAAAAAGATCCGTTTTCGTGTGAAAAAACTCAGTTTTCGTGTGGATGACAGGCCAAAACGTAGAAAAATATCTACGTTTTGGCAGATCCCCGGCTACGTGTGGACAGGGCCTTAATTTAGAGGATTTCTACCACGTTTCATTAAAGGGACATGTTATGACTTTTTTCCTTAAGTTTCTTAAAGGTGTGGTTTACTTGTTTATTCGATACATGTGCAGTGATCTATAGTGTAAACGAATGCCTTATGAGTGATTGAAAAAGAGCTATGGTGCTCCTGTTCTGAGATGCAGAGGTTTGCTGGTGCTGAGGTGGGCTGAAAACAGCAGGATTGTTGATTGTTATTAATGATATGCACACACCTCGCTTCTGATTGGCTAACAGAATGCATTCAGCTATGTTGTAAAGTCACTCACCAAGACACCCTCCGTTCTCCTGTGGGCGGGCGCGAGTCAAGATGGGTGAGGCCTTGAATGCAAATTCACAGTGTGACATAGTCATGTGAGGATTTTCAAATCCAAACATTTCACTGCCCATTTTCTATCAAAAGCTAACACTGGAGATAGATGTAAATTATTTGCATGTGCAGCCTACATGAAAAACTCAGTGTGACAGATTATAATCAGAAATAATCATTAAAAATGTTTTTAGTTACCACAAAGTTCTTTGTACACAATCCCCCTCACATAAAGCAGTTTCAGCTGATTTATTCTTGACAATTTTAGTGTCTTCCAGAAGCCGGTTCAGGGCTCTGTCATGTTAGGAAAAGAAGCTGAAGCTGGCCACGCCCACTCATCCCCCGCTCAGGCTGCTATAAGCTGAGAAACTCCAATAAACAGAAGGGGCTCATAGCAGAGCCGCTGCTCCTCCAGCAGCAGCCGTCTCTTGCATATGAGAGATGATTCTATTCTAATTTCCCTGTTTGTGACATCACAAATGGGGACTTATTAAATCAGCATGTTTTAGGCACATAATTCCTAAAACGAAGCACAGACAAAAAATGAATCAGTGGATTTCTTTTGTGTTTGGAGTTTTTATAGTGGCCCAAACGGCAGCACAAAAATATGCTAATGGTACGAGTTGCATAATATCTCCTCTTTAAAGTTGATAAAAATATTATTTAGATATCTTGACACTGCAATCAATGTAGCTGAGCGCATTTATTTCATTAGGAAAAAATGAAAGTCCAACCAGAAGTGTTCTACACTGGACAGGAAGTGCTACAATTACCTCTGACATGTTCACAAGTGATGGTGAGAGAGGTGGACCAATGAGGATGCCGCAGTCTTCAGGCTACAGTTCAACTCTAATCCACAGGGAGCCCCCCCCCATCTGGGATTCTAGAGAGTAGCACTGAGATGAGGATTGTCAAGATTCTCCTTCTGGGTTGGTCACCTTGGTGACCCAATCTAGGATACGTAAAAGTAAAGGTAGAATATTTTTGCTCCGAGCAGAAAGTTTATCAATCTGGTCAGAGGTAATCTGTTTCTATAAACCAAGGTTGCTCAAAAAGCTATAACAGATAAGATATTTGTTATCTTTCAACAGACCTCCACTTCTAAAGCTCTGACTTACACCTTAGATGACCACTGAGCCCAGTTTTGACACCTAACAGGAGACAAGCTGCACCATTACTGAGACGGTGATTCATCCATCTCATTATTATTATGGTAATTCCTCCTGCAGCTCCATGAATGATAAACACACTCAGAATCACAGACAAAAACAAAGTTAATTCTCTCCAGCTCTGGTTTCCTTCAAATCTCCCAAGTTAAAAAAAAAAAAAGATTAAACTCTCTGGCAGGCATCAGAAGAAGTAGGCAGGGGGGACGGGAGTGTGTTTGCATATTCCTTTCTGTACCGAGGCTGGTGCTGCACTTAAGGATGTAAGTATTGCTCTGAATGCTGAAACACACAGCCAGAGGTAAGGTAGATGAGGCAATAAAGACGGAGCTGGTAAATACTGGGGAGTCTGAGCGATGAGAAACAGACCATCTGCCCGGTGGGAGGAGGAAGCGTCGTCTCTCACCTGCCAGAAGATGTTGTCGATGGTGTTGCCCAGGAATCCTTCTCTGTTATCGGACGACAGCAGCTTGGGCCCCAGTATCGTCATGAACTCCTCAAAGTCCACCTGGCCGTCCCCTGCAGGTGAACGCAGGACTGAATTTAACCAGACAAGCAGCTCAGCAGCACAGAATCACAATTTCCCCTCCCTGAACAAAGACAGCTAAACAGATGGGTGCACTTTAATCCATAACAAACACAACGCACAACAGGAGCATTCATTTAAATCAGTTTTGTTCTTTTGCAAGAGCGAATGCCGTTTCATGACACTTGCTGATCCTGAATTCACTTGTGGAGGTTTGCATTTTGTATTCTGCTGCAGTGTGAAGCTAATAATATCCATCAACAGCCTGAACACTTTCAGAGCTACACCTTGTAAAACCACAGGTGGATTTATTTCATAAGTGTGCGAATGGCCTATTATCATGATTGATGTCACTGCATGCTTTATGGTTTCCCTAAATGTTCTGCTCATTAAATCTAATAATAAAAAACAGAAGAGGAGCTTTAGTGTTCTTTGTTTCATCTGTCTGCAACTTCTGTTTCATTAACTCATCATTTCGAGCTAATTCTACAGAGCACACTGAGGCAATTAATACATTTTAGCTGCATCACAGCCGCGTTTTTCAGTTCGACCACAGATGGTCAGAAAGAGTTACTTGGAATGATGCTTCCTAAGAAAATACATTTCCTCTCAATCACAGTTTTTCAGCCTTCTGGAAATAATTTTGGAAACGATGAAAGATGACAGAAGATGACAGAACTGTCCAGAAACACAGAATGTTAGAGAACATTGCACAACCTGAAAGACTCAAAGAAAACCTCACTAGGAATTAGCAAAATTGAATCTTATTTGAGATTATTTAAGGCTTAAAAGCTCAGAGAAGGATAAGTCCAGATATCAGCTGATTAAATACATTCCCGAGTTCGTGTTTAATGACATAAAATGCATCAGAGACACTGTGCAGGTTGTGATATGGAAATTATGGAAGTCGGAGGAATACAGGGTTTAAAGGGAGATGCTGTATCAGCCCAGAACAAACGACGGTGCTGCTCTCAGGTGGTCGGTTAATCGTGGAAGCAAAAAGCTTTTAGCTTTGACCTTTGGTATTTATGGCATGCTGTGAAATCAAAAGCCAAGGGCAGTCAGATAAAATGCCCTCTGAAAGAGCAAATGCATTGTTTCTGATGCGGGAGAGTAATTTCAATCCTCCAGGAATTTACATGTGGAGTTAAAGTGGAAGAGGAAAGAGCAGCTAGGCTTGCTATTTTATTGTCTCCAGGGAAATTGACTTTTGACAGCTGACCACCTGGTGTTCTTTACATTTTATTTTATTTTTTATTTTTTTAAATGCAGAGGGGAAACTTTTTTGGGGGACGAACTAAATAGTAAATTTTTTCATCCGCCTGCAGCAACATAGAGAGGTATTCAAGTGTGTGTTCTAGTATTTTTAATTTATAACACATTAAAATTCACCACCTAAAACATTCACATGGCCAGTTCACTAAAACACATTCCCCATTTTAAAGTAACAACAGTTAGTGTTTTAAACTATTCCACCCAAACATGAAATTTTGTATGTTGACATATTTCCCAGAGTTAGTTGAGTGGGAAACAACTATTTTAGTAGTTTAAATATTTTAGTAACCAGCCCAGTCATTCTGCTGATCCGGCTGTACTCCTTTAGCTTTAGCTTAGCATAAAACACAGTGAGTGAATAAGTCAATTGCATTGTGAGCAAAACATAAACAAACAAACAAACAAATAAATAAATAAATAAATAAATAAATAAATAAAAATAAAAACTTAAAATCACTGAGTAGTGATCCCAAATCTGCTTGGTGTCCTAAATAATCATGCTGACTGCAAGTGAAAATAATAAGTAACATAATGCTAGTTGGATCCATTCACTTACAGTGTTTTATGCTAAGCTAAATCTAAAGTAGTACAGCCAGGTCAGGAGAATGACTGGGTTGGTTACAAATAATCATCTAATTCTGGGAAATATGTCAACAGACAAAATTTCACTTTTGGGTGAAACTTCCCTTTAATCTAGAGTTTTAACATTGGTCTCAGTGATAGTTCAGTTGGAAACTTGACCAGTTCAATTTTTGACACCATTCTGCAGCCCTCTGCTGGCCAGACACCACACTTAGGGTGGTGCCCTTTACCTGCTTTACAGCTGTTAAATGTAATGCTAGTGGTTAGCATTTTCAGCCGATTGTCAATAAAAACCACAAGAAGAAGAAAAAAAGAAGTTTGCTTTTTCTGTTGGTGTCATGGTGGAGCAAAAGTAAAAGCAGGAGAGTAATGTCTTTGGAAGGGAAGCGAAGAGCTAAAACCAGCGCAAACATCGGCGTGGCCTACACTAGTTTAAGGGAGCTAGAGGGGGGTAAAAAAATCACAGACTGATGGTGACCTGGCTTTGTTGCTACTGGACTTGTAAATAATAATTAATATGATCATTTTTGTCCAACAATGTGAACTTTTTACTTTGTGGTTTATTTTAGTATTGGTTGGTTCATGTTAGTGTTAGCTTGTTGTTAGCGCTAGCTACAGCAAGCTGCAGCAGGGTCATTAACGTATTTTCACTTTCAACCAGTACAGTATAGGAAACTGCTCAGTGGTACTTTAAGACTGCGCAAAAACAAAAAGGTAAAATAAACTCTACACTCATGTGTCCTCGCGTCTCACCGTCCATGTCCAGTCTCTGCATGATGATGGCCAGCTCCACTTCGCTGGGCATGTAACCCAGAGAGCGCATGGCCATTCCCAGCTCCTGCTTGGAGATGAAACCATTCCCATCTCGGTCCAGAACTCGAAACGCCTCACGGATCTCTGCACCACAAACACACGCAAAACTCTAGAATCCATTTCTCTTTTATCTCTTTTTTTTGTAAATATGGTGATTCATTGCAGAGGATTCATTTATCTTTTGTAAAAAGAAACAGAACTAACATAACTGACTGAGTGATGGTTTCCTGATGTTTATTTGTGTGTATGAGAGTTAATGAGGTGATTTTTTAATCATTATAATTATGTGTCATTATTTAATGGTTTAAATCCAAGTTCTATAACGTTTTGTCTTTTTGATCAACTGCACTTTCTTTTATTATCTTTGTGATAATTACAGTAATTATGATTAATTAATTTTTGTGTTTTTTTCTTTGGGTTGCTGCGTGAAGCTCGTTATAATTTACTTTTTATTAATGTTCACTAGACAACAGCTTTTCAGAGAAAGGTCTATTTGTTTTTCTAATATTTTCTCAGTCATGATTTATCTTTTCTGTATAAGGATTTTTTAATAACAGGAGCAAAAGGCAGAAAAAGCAAAAACGTGAGTTAAAAAGTCTGTTAGAGAAAGTTGAATAAGTTTAAACGTCTCCAGCCAACTTCAGCCTCTCTACTCTCAGAGATGCGACATGTTTCTCTGTGATAAAGCTTCAGTGACCACCAGCAGCTCAGGGACAAAACTGACAAATTAACTCAGGAGCAGGACTGACTTCTTTGGGAGTTGGTGGGAGCAACAAAACACAACAAAACAAAACACAAAATTACGACCACATCAGCCATGAGCTGGCTGTGTGAGAGTTTGTCAACCTCGATGGACAGATTAACTGTGTGCACTGATGGTAACTCAAACCTGAACTCCAAATCACTGAATCCCCCAAAAGGATATAAAACAAAATTGAAAAATACATTTTATTGTGACGCTTTGTCAGTTCAACACCTAATTAAATGTATATAGCCACATATATTTGGCCACTCATCTGATAAAACAGAAATTATGATAGATGCTGGATGTCTCTGTAAATTTAACACTTCACTGATAAGTCTGTTAACTCTGGCAGGTTGATGAGGACAAAACTTGCAGAAAAATAGATAATTTTGGACATTTAGGAGAAAAAAAGAACATTTAATGTTGCAGTAAATATTAACACCACCAGCTCTGTAGATTGTACATTCTGAATTAGTCATTTTTATTGAAACTAAGAAAATTTCATTAATGTTAGATTGTAAAACTCGTTAACCACACAGATGATTGGAGAAAAAGATATTTGACATTTCTGGTGCAATTCAGACTTCTTTTTTTCCCTTAAACCCACCAAAATTCTAATTATGCCTCCTTCTTCATTTTTTAAATAAGCAATTTTATTTTTACATGATAATTTCAGTCACAAATCTCAAAAAGCAAAATATTCTGTAAGATTTCAACATTAGAAACAAAAATAGGTAGTAAATTCAGTAGAAAGCATTTTTTATCTATTAAATTCAGTGATGACAGCAACACGTTACATAGTAGCGTGTTACTCTGAAACAGGGGTGGGGAACCCTGGTTCATCAAGGGCCGGTATCCAGCATATTTTAGCTCCAACCCTGCTTCAACACACCAGATTTCAATCAGCAGGTGATTAACAGGCTGCTGCAGAGCCTGATGAGCTGCTGAACAGGTGAATCAACCACTGAATCAGAAGTGTTGGAGCAAAGACATGCAGGATACCGACCCTCGAGGACCAGGGTTCCCCACGCCTGCTCTAAAAGGACCACTTTTCCCACTAAGAACCAATTTAACGTGTTACTATTTCAATATCAGTAATCAAATTAAAGTTACTTTTCCAAGACAATATATGCGTTACTGATTACATTTTTATGTTTGGTCAAGATGTTAAAACCAGCTAAAGGAATAATGCTGTTGATAGTAACTGAAAAGTAACTTCTAATTTAACTTATTTACTTTTGAATGTAGTTATCAGTATTCAGTAATCATTTCAAAGTAACTAAGATTAAAATCATGTTGATTTTTTACAGAAAAAGCAACCAAATGTTTGTGAAGAACTGGATGTCAAACCTGACAGGAATACGAGTCAATGGGAACACTGCAGCTCTGACAGCCCAGAAACCCACCAGCAAATGCTCTAGTTTTGTTTTACAGAACACATTCGTATTTAAAGTGAGATAAGGAAACCACGAAAGCAGGAATTTCTAAAATAATTCATGTTTCTATTGTGTTTTACAGCTCCATAAAACCTGATCCAAAACGATAATGTGTCATCTGATGCATCAGTGAGACAAAGAACACTGTGAGGCAAAGCCATTGATTAACAGATTTTAGGAGGTCTGTGTGGAGCTGAAAGGAGCTTCCCTGGAGTTGATAAGAGGCCTTCCCATTAACTGGAAGCACCACAGCTTTCCTCTCAGACAAATCAAGGTGAGAGCGAATTCCCACTTTCCTTCACTGCCTCACCCCCTTCCTCCTGCAACATCTTCCACTCTCTCTTACATCTTTACGTACTCATTGTTTTTTACAAACCCTGAGGGCTCTGGACCGATGCATCCACACACCACCTTCACTGCCAAGAATGTTTGCGACTCTCCTCCCACGTAAAACAAGAGAAAAGCTTTTATCTAACTAGTAGTTGTAACTAAACCCACAACAACAAAACGTTTATTTGTCAAGCAGAAATACTCAAACCAGTAAGAAACCTAAAAAAAAAACCTGCACCTGTCAGTCTCCATTCAATCACCCATCAATCATCTGGTGCTGATGTTGAAGGATGCAGGTGTTTTAATTACTTGATAAAATCAAGCATCCATCCATTCATCCCTCTCATCAATTCTGTTTTTTAAATCCGCACATGTGTGGATGGACACTTTCATTTCAGCTGACATTTAGCAGCTGTGCAAAGCTTTATCACAGAAACACAATCAAAAGTTCTCCTAAACGGCTCCCAAACCTCACTCAGCCATTGAATTTTACATGAAGTCATCTCTGCACGTGCAGCTCGCCATTAAAATTCCCATCCCGACGCGTTGCTCTTTTCTCCCCGTGAGTCTGATCTTTTTCTCTGGATGTTTCATAAAAGCTGAACTTCAGTCGCAGCCCCCCCCCCCCCCCCCCCCCGTCTTTAAACACCCCCCACCCCCTTTGCTCATAACTGGACTCCAGCTCCACGCTGCAGCCACCGGCTCTCCTTCTCCGCTCACTCAATAAAGTGGGAATCAGAGGCGAGCCATTGTGCATGCAGGCAAGTGCGTGCCCTCCCAAAACAAACCCAGATCCATTTGTATGCAGCTCAGTGGGGGAGACTACATTTTCAATAGGGTACAAATGAGCTGCGCTCTGATGTATTGCTGTTTGGTGCATATGAGGCTGCAGCACTGCCTGAGCCTGGTTGTGTTTTATAAAGTCAGGCCCCCAGGATTGTTCGTCTTCCCACAGTGAGCGATGAAATGCCTCGAAAAGTGCAGAAAAGGTTTGAGGCCATTTAGTGCAGCGGAGATTAACAACTGCACATGGATGATCTTGGAAAAAAAAAGAAAACCTTCATCTCCCTCTGAAGTAGGATTAGAAGTTTTCAAGTGCTGGCAGCAAAGTTTAACGCAAATATTTTGTCCACATCAAAGAAACTAAATGTTTGCAAGAGATCTGCGGCTCGCGGCAGCTAAAAATGCTTTATCGGGATGTCTGGAGCCAAAAAGCAGAACTGATTCGTACTACTGTCACCTTTAGTGTCACAGGTTATTACCTAAGATTGTTTAGAAATGACAGAGGCGTAGCTATTTTGGAAATAATGCGTTCTTTCTCTGATACCTGCTGGCGTTCAGAGTGTGACTTTCAACTAAAACCACATCGAACTGTTGATCAAAAATAGTAAAAAAATAAAAATTCAATCGTGTCGTGATTATTTGATTTGATTAGGGCTAAATCTAAATATGCGTCAGTTGTAAATTTTGAGAGTTTCTATGAAATCTGCCCAATTTGAGTGTAAGACTGCAAAAAAGTGAAGACGCACACACCGATCAAAAGGCAAAAATGCCTCATGCCTCTTGATTTCCATGACTTCCACTTCCTTTCTGTCCTTGACAAACAAAACTCCGTCCAACCTCACTAATTATGATGACACGTTTCAGCTGCAGCTCTGCTTTCTGTGCAGAGAGCAAAAAGTTTCCATGTGAACTGGGTTGAGTCGAGCTGTGCACGAGGGACGATGGATTAAAAGATTTATACAACAAAGTGTTTCGTAGCAAAGCACAAAACACATTAGAGCAAACTACAACAGGCTGCATGTATGAATGCAAACAGCCAAAAGGCTCAGTCTTGACTCTGTGATGGGATTAGCTGTTTCCTTCCCTAACAGAAACAAAAACATATATATGAATTAACTCCTTCTAAAGTGGAGGTGTTCAATTTAGGCAACAGATCCAGAACTGTGCAGACAAGCTGTGCACGAGGACGAAGCTTTTCTGGCTCACTTAACACTCTCAGGCTCAAAATGAGTTTTGATAAAAGAACAAACAACTAAGTTCTTTAGGGGTACTTCTGAGTTAAAAAAAACGCTCATGTATGTGGACCATGGATGTTATTGGGGGGGGGGGGGGGGATGTCCCCCCCACTTTTCCAAAGTCAAGTTTTGACCCCTGCACTTTTTACCATCCAAAAACCATATTACTTTATATTAAATTGACACTGGTTGAGCTCTAGGACCAAGCAGAAAACAACCGTTTGTGTTGAAGCCTGTTTCCCATTAGAACATACTGTAACGACCCCCCCACCCCACCCACCCCACCCCCCACGTTGCAAATCTGCAACGCCTGCCTCCAGAGGGTTAAAGCTGTTTTCAGGTGAAACAACAGTTTGTTGTGTGAAGCTTTGATTATAATTATCACTTTTAAACCACAATAATCGTTGAGAACAATACAAGTCTTAAACATTCACATCAG